ATTTAGATGTATTTACTCAGACTGTTTAATGGAGATAAGAGGTTCCATAAATGCATTTACACAGTAAAATTGCAAATGCATAAATAATGTTATAAGATTAATGTTTTACTTTTTTTTAAACATATAAATATGAAATGTTGGAAAATGCAATGATACTTTTAAATATGAAACCAAACCACCAGTAGGTGGCGGCAAGTCTTAATGAGTGAGCCACTGATTCAACCAATTCGTTCAAACGGCTAATTCATTCAATAAATAAAGTAAGTGACTTTTTTTATGAATGGCTCAGTTATTGTTTGTATTGATGTTTTAATGAGGTTACTTGTCCAGTTCACTTGCCCCTTCACAAAATCCACTTGTCCCGGACAAGCGTTAATGTCGAGCCCTGCAGTGACTGAAGTAGTTTTGTGTTTGATTGTCATGAATGATTACTTGAACACCTTACTTAGTGGACTACTGATTCAGTTTGTTCTGTGGCTTGAGTCGAACAGCTCTGAGGCGTGTGTAGGTGTATGTAGTGCATGTGTCCTGACCAGCGATGTCGCTCCTGCGGTGAGGGCTGAAGTCACGTTTGTTGGGCCACGTGTTGGACATGGACAGCGAGGGGTCAGCGTGGTTTCTGCGCGGTAAGGTCGGGGTCAGCAGACTCCCTGTTAGGGCAGTCAGCGGGTACGAGGGCAGCAGAAACGAGCCCGGAGGTGTGGAGCTAGTCGGGAGGGAGAACGTTCGCTCAGCGCCGCCCGACGGGAAACGACTCGTCTTGGGCAAACCTGTGGAAGAAAGCCAAACACTCAATACCTTCAGTTCAAGGAAAAATGACAATGTGACAAACATAAAAACAAGTACTTAATATCACGCTTTAGTCGAAAATTAAACGCATTGCCTTTACAACTAACTGACTGAGGCACTAAAATCACTAACTGGAAATAAATAAAAACTAAAACTGAAATAAAATTTTTAAATTAAAACTAAATATTAATATAAAAAAAAAACTAAAATAATAAATAAATAAAAATAAAAGTTACATTAAAATATTAAAAATATATAATAATACTAAAATGACACAGATCCTAATTCATTATGGTTCCCAAACTCTACTGCCAACTTTAATAAACCTTTAATAAAATCTGAACATATGTGGCCCTGCAGCACAAAAGCAGTGTTAAGTCGCTGGGGAATATTTGTAGCAATAGCCAACAATACATTGCATGGGTCAAAATTATAGATTTTTCTTTTATGCCAAAAATCATTAGGATATTAAGTAAAGATCATGTTCCATGAAGATATTTTGTACATTTCCTACCGTAAATATATCAAAACTTAATTTATGAGTAGTAATATGCATTGCTAAGAACTTAATTTGGACAAATTCAAAAGCGATTTTCTCAGTATTTAGATTTTTTTGGCACCCTCAGATTCCAGACTTTCAAATAGTTGTATCATAACAAACCATACATCAATGGAAAGCTTATTTATTCAGCTT